ATAGTAGACATTTCAAAGAATATTTTCGTAAAAAAATAATTCATTTATGTATTTTCATTTTGTTTAAAATTAATTTTAACCTTAGCGTTCCCGTTATGCCCCGGGTTCCCCTATGTATTTTACTGTCCATTACATATAAATAATAAAAAAAGTATAATAAATTATAAATATAAATTTATAATTACGCACGTTATATACTAGATGTAACAATTTTTGAATAATTTTCTTAATAACAAGAAATTATATATTCAAAGTGATAATAAAATTGATATTAAATTAAAAAATCCTGAAATTAAAAAATTATTTTCTTCGTGATTGTCATTTGCAGAAATTCGTTCAATTAAGTTTAATATATATAAACTTCGATTAGAGCGCGGCCCGACGAAAGCAAATTGTACTTCACGAGCGTGATGGAACTGATAGAAAAAGTTAATCTCGTTCTTCTAGCTCGTCGATTATTGCCTTGTCTGTACTGCGCGAAGAAAGCCGCGGATCCACATCTATAAGACGCGAAGTAAAATAAACTTTGCACGTGAACGCAGATGGCTTTTTCGCGCAGCACGCCACTTGGAAGAAGACACACTTGACCTTTTTCTTTCGTTCTGTTTCTCATTCCCCAATCCCGAAGTTGAAGCTAAAGTTAAGTAAACCTCATCCCCTTCGTCTTACCCGATTTGTCTTCCAGGTGAAAGCCGAAAGAGCTGGCGGAAAACGAGTTCCTTTGAAATGATATATTCGTAAAGTAAATTCATTCATCTGTGCGTAAAGGGCAACCTCTGCAATTGGCCGCCTCTATTGCAAGCAATTTTCCTCGAAGGACCTCGAGGCAGACTTGGCTCCTTCTTGCGTCTGCACTTAAAACGCGGAGTAGCGAGCGCGATTCTTCTTTTAGTGCATCTTTATTTCCCTTTCCGATACGACGAGAAGAGATTTCTTAGCTATTTCAGATTCTTATATTCTTAGCAAGAGTTCAATACAGTTTCTAAAAAAAGTAAAAATAGATTACAGGGTAGAAAGTATACTTATTTCTTTTAATATTCAAGTAGTTACAGTGAATATTGAAAGGAAATATCAAGATATTAAGTTATTATAATGACTAAAATACTCTTGAAAAATGTACTTTCGAAACCAATAATCATATTATCAATTCTGTTCTTATCAAAGTCTTTAAAAAATAGTCTATCCATATAAATTTATTTCGAAAAATAATTTCACATCTTCAAAAACAAGAGGGATATATATTCGCGTGCCAATTATTAAATGCTTCGAACATCTGCGAGATCCGAAATCTAAATTCAGCATCAATATCTCTAATGAAATAATATACTGTCTAATAAAATAATAAAATAATTAAGACATCAATGCATATGAAGCTTAGTGCGCTTTCCCATAAAATGCGCAGCTCTTGTGAGATTACATTATTATGTCGTACCTCGTATAGAAAACGCGTAAATTCGAATTCTCGACTAGAAGGAGAAAGGTGCCGAGTACGTGTTTCACCAGACCAGTCCTACACTGGAAGGGTGAAAAACTGGGAGAAAGATATCATCAATCCTATATAAGACTGTCGATTCTCGATCACTTACACTTGTTGTAGTCATTACGTTCGATCTTGAATGCCACTACAAAATTTGCGCAAGTTAATACGCGTCAATTTTTTAACTTTAAAAACACAGTGAATAATAATTTGCGATAAAACGTCAAGCGCTTATTTATGGCGTGTCGAATGCAAGTCCTGGTGAGCCTCTCGTAAAAATTTGTCAGCGTGACAATGATATTTTTAAACGCGAGTGTTTTCCTTTGTCTTCAGGTCGTCGTCGTCGCAATGACGATGATATCTGTGGAGGCGTACGAATTTAAAAGAGACGTTTTCTCCAATTCGGATGTCACGTTTCATCGTAAATCTCGTCCACGGAATTTCTTTCCGGATCAATCGTTTGTCGACAAGACCGTCGGTCTGCAAACTTCGGCCGTTAAACTAGCGAGAGATCGAAGTAGCCCACGAGCTTCTCGCGACGTGTCCTCGAAAGATCGAGTTATCTATTCATCCGGCTTTTCAGTTTTTTATCATCAACCGAATTTTATGCCATCGTTTAGAAATAAACCGTTATTCAAGAGTCCAATACAGAATCGAAAAATGCGTGAAGAACGGTCGGTTCTTAGAGACAATTTCTTCGAAGGACAATCACTTACTCCAGAGAAAATCTTCGAGGGACAAGCGTCGACATACAGAAGCCAAGCACCATTTAAAGAACAATTGTTTGCGACTGAAACGTCGTTTGGAAACTTATTTCGCGGACAATTATCCTCGGCTGAACAAACACCGTTTCACAAGCAAGCGACTTTCGTTGAATCCCCGTCCGTCTCCAACTCGATCAAGTTTTACGGAGGTGATTATGTTAAACCAATCGACTCATACGAACAATATAAAGACATACTGACTTCATTTGACGGGAAATCTACAAAATACGGTGAGTTCACGGATGCTACATAATTTCGGGGACATGTAATAGGAATTTTTCTACGTAACATTACATCAGAGAGTAAATGTTTCTCTGATAATGGACACGGTTCAATTTCTTTTTTTTCCCTCCCAGACTTTTTAATTTAACTCGCGCAAATTGTTTTGCGGGCAATCCGATATTGAATTTTCTACTAAAACGTGAAGCAGTTTGTTAATTGAGGCGTTAGACAAACTCGTCCCTTCGGAACTTTAATTTGATCGCACCGCGTTAATTATTGCAGAATAATTTTCAGCTATCAAGTTAAATCTCTACTGATACTTGCGTACAACATCCAACCCTCGAGTTCAAAAATAATGAATTATTCCCAGGGGACAACTTTGTCTCCCTCACTCGTTCCCTCATTCGTCGTAGCGCCGTCGCTTCGCTGGTATCTTGAGAACTCTTTCATAGTGCATTGTATCCACATTCAAATGATGATAATATTTCTCGCCGCAGACAATCAAGCGCCGAGTATGTCCTCAAGGCCGATGGTCCCGTCCTCCGAGTACCTCGTTCCATCAAACGCCGAGATGCCATCATCAAAGCCCGTTATCATGCGCGGACATAATCCTGCCATGCCTTCCATTTTCTCCGGAATGGGCGAAGCCTATTCCTCAGAAGCTTCCAAGATGGAACTCGGTCCGACGCTAACGACGGCCAGCAACTGTAATACGGTGAGCCAAATCTACGCAGCTGATAATACTCCGCTTTCACAAAGCGGAGTATTATATAATCAAAATTTAATCCTGTCTGTTGAATCCGATACCCAGCCGAAGGCGAAACCTTTCTCGCGGAAATTTTGACGAATCCGTTTTGCGGTGAATAATTGCATTTGTAAATGAAAACCGACAACTTCGTCAACCCAATCAAGTTTTGTGTTACTTTATCTACTTGCAATTATACAATAACGCATGCTGGGTGGTTAACAAAAATTTTTTAATATAATCTTATATTATACTTTATATTATACAATTTTAAGCTTACGTCAATGTTATGCATATTGTGACGTCAGTTGCGCGTAAATTTATACACTATGTTAATTGTTTCTTATATAACTCATGTATCTTATATGCACATATTTAATATTCTGTTTAATACTAAACCTGTTAGGTCCGGTTGCATCAACGTCATGTAACTTTAACCTTAGCTTAGCTCACTTTTTGTCTCTTTCTAAGGGAAACAATTAGAGACGAAGAGTGAGTTAAGTTAAAGTTACGTGACGTTGGTGAAACCGGACCTTATTTACTTAACACTATTCTTATCGATCATCTACTAAATAAAACATAAGACTAACAAATTTTCTTAAATAATTTTACGTTAATAATTGCAATGCGTAATACTGTAATGTACCATTTGACACTGAAGATGACAAAATATAAGATAAGCCATAGTGAATGCAGCGAATAAATATAATATATTAGACACGAATCAGCGACACGCCGAGTTAATAAATGTTTGTATTGTTTTTAGCCGGTTGACAGCTCGCCAACAACCGTTCCATCAATCTCAGTTAGCACAAACCAAACCTCGATTGTAGGTCACATCTTAACGAGTTTAACAACCAAGCCCAGTTCGCCTGTCATGGCAACATCAATAGCGCCGTCCGCCGGAAAGTACGTAATGGCTGACCGGAGCTTTATTATCCGCCCGGTTGGTTACAGCAATGTAACTATGCAGTAAACTAAACTAAACTCAACTGAAGTTACTCAATTGCTAAACGAGAATGTCATTCGAATGCTATTATGTCGGACTTGAGACGATCGTGTCGCATCGTGTTATCGCAAATTGCTTAACGCAAAAGTAATATAATTACCATTACCTGAAATGAGATGAACTCAACGGTATTTATTTAGCATAATTAATTTTATTTCGTTTACTAAAATTCGGTTACAACGTGTAGACTGTAAAGTCATGGACTTGAAGTAGTAAAAAAATTGTATCACCAAATAATTTACATACTCTTCAATTGTCTTTAACGATAGACTTTATGAATAGCCAAACTTAATATAAATTTTTATTAGTTTCTTATTAATTTACTTAATTTTTGTAATCTTTATTTTTGTAATTGCGAAATTTGTAATGTAAAATTGAAAATTGAAAACTAACCGCGCTAATTGATCGATAAAGCAACAGCGTAATTATATTACATTTAAATTCAGTTTCTTTGCTTTAGCATCATCGAGCCGATTTATTTTCACGCTACTAAATATGGGGCTGTCACGCCTCCTCATCCTATTTTGAGCGAAGTGAATAGCGACACGCATCCCTATGCGCTTTCACACACGCCGAAGAACAGCCTCAAGATCAACGAGCATGACTTCAAATTCCTAGCGTTAGAAGCGCCGAAGAACGTTGAAACCCAAAGCTCCATGTTGAACTACATTCTCCCCGAAGAGCACAAAAGCGGAGTGAAGGGTATTCAGAACTCCTTTGAGGACTACGCGCTGCCCGTGAAACTTAAACATGACTGGCCTTTGCAGCAATTCTCACAATCGGAAACATCGCCCGGTTATGCTCCGCTGTCTCTCAACGGAAAGACAAAACTCATTTTACCGAATATACCCGTAGTACCAATTTCTTGGCCGATAGAAATTAAAAACGACGTTTCCACAACATTACCATTGAAACCCATAATAATGCCCGATGCGGCGACAAGGAGCAAATTGTCGCTAGGTACGATATGATTATATCTCATTATAATTATTAAATAATAAATAACGTGGATTGTTACTGTTTTCCAAGTAAGCTAAAGCTTCACTCTTTCTCTTCTAAACACGAAGTCACAGCATCAAACCGGCAAACGTCTAATTGTATTTCTGCGTTACGTTACATTAACTTTTTAAATTCATCACGAGACGATCATTTTGTAAATTCTTCAATTATGATGTTCTAACATTTCGAGATTGACATAGCAAAGAAACATTTGGGCAATAAATGCGAACACAGTCTTTTACGCATATTTTACTACAGGCACAGACTTACCTGTAGACTTGACGGCAAGCATACCGAGTATGACTTCAAGTACATCCAATGGTATATCTGCAAGCATAACTGGTGGCATATCAACGGGCATACCTGGTGGCATGACGACGGACATACCTGCGAGCATACCAACTTTGAACCTCGGGCAAAGTTTACATCACGTGGAACAATTACGACAAACTCAAGAGGCGAGAAATCCATGGTACCCCACAGGTATCTTAGCACTATACGCCAAGCAAGTTTTACATCTTCGGTTTCGACCGTAACATACATTTAACCTAACACCCGGAATTTCTCTGAAGATACAGAAATTCGCCCGAAAACGCTGTGGAATTTAATGGAATAGCGGAGTGATATAACGCGTTTCAACTTCAGCAAGAATTTATCTATGAAATTCTTCAAATCCTGATATGAAAATTATTAGATGCAAATTGAAAATTTTGTGCGATAATGAAATAAAATTTTATGCAATACTTGCGTAAAATTCTGCGGGACTTATATGTAATAAAGTTTTAAACTGCACAAAACTACATTATTATTATTCCCTTTGTCAAGTTTATATCTCCTCGTTTACTCTAACTTTATAGTTTTTTCTAATAATATCTAATTATTGGATATGAATTTTTGCATATAGAAATATGCTCAACAGCATACGTATACGTGTACTGTATCTCTTCTTTCTTCGCGACTCTTGGACACAGACTTTACCAGCAGTTCGATCTGCTGATCAATTTGAGGACTTTATACCGCAACTTTTTCGCACGAAATTGATAGGCATAACGCAATTAATGTATTTTACAGGATTGCAGTTGCAGCTCGGAGGTTTCGGCGGAATAAATTATGCCTTACATACGGGTAATCCTGCCACGAAATCGATGGAGCCTGGGATCGCCGCGAAAGCGGGTTTAACTTTGCCGAAATTACCGCAACCGCACGCTCCCGCATTTGCAAAAGTGAGTTCTCAAGGCGCGATTGTAAGTTGTGCGGTGCGCGGTACTCATGTCCCTCGAAAGCTTTTTTAATGGCACGCGATATTACTTCGGTCGCAATTTATTAGCTACGTGCCGGCTAGTTACGAGCAGCCCACGCTTCGCTTCTCCCTTTCCTCCCTGTCTCATCCTATGTGTCTTCATCTCCTTACTGCTGCTACGTTTTCTCTTTTTTTCCAATTTACGACTTTCTTCCGTTACGTTTCACTTGGCCAATGGCGCCGTCGTATCGAGACACCGTACATTCCCACGAGTAAATCAAGCAAATTGCAGTTTTTGTCGGATATATTTTACGGGTTATTCGAGATAAAGCGGCCACACCTCTCGGAATACGGGCGAGGGGCGGGTATTAAAAGAAAGAAATTACCGCGCCGCTTCGGAGTTTGTCATTAAATTTAGTGCATTCATATTTCTGCGCTCCGCTGTGCAGTCGCGAACTCGCGGAATTTATTATTCCATTTAATTGACTGAATAATTCAATCCCCGCGAGCATAAATGTCACTTGTATTTGAATGACTATTGTATAATTGTCAGATAAAACAATAACTTTTTCTACGTGCACTTCCTTTGAGAACGATCTACCAAAGCTTTTAATAATATCGCAGGCTGGAATTTATTTCATTTTTCTTGATATTTATTACATGTTGTGCAAATAATATATAACTGAGCGAGTTAAAATATTTTAAAATTCGTAAATTTAAAAAAAGACTCATTCAACGATATTTTATTTTGATAAAGGTTAATATATTCAGTGAATGTCCAGAGGTCCATTTAACAAATGCTTATATATTCATATTTATCATTTCATTTATTATCATATATTATTAAATGAATGAAAAAGTAATATGAGGAAAGAAAAAAAACATAAAAATTTTACATTAAAATATTTTATATTACTCGTTACATTAAAATATTTTATATTATACTACTCTAACAAAATGAAATAAATATGAAGAGAGCATTAAGATACTTTATTATACAAATTTATTTATTTTATCTGCAAAAGGGTACCTCTAACTTTTTAATTATTAAATTTTCCAATATCCATTCAACGAGCGTGTAATTTAGAATCCTATAAATGGACTATTCACAAGAGAGCGAATATATATATTAGATATATATTTCAAAGTGGAAATTTCAATACTCTGTTCTGTATACAGTAGATTCCTAATTATCATTTGGAAGTACGTCTGTTTGCTTCGGCAAATGCCATCGAACGTGGGAAGTTCGCTGGTAGAAGCTTATGAATATGGAACGCGGTATTCACGAGATATTAATTAGCAAACCAATTTTGTTAATCATACACGTTCGTGCCTGACAATTCTGTTGGTCTATTGGCATACGTAAACTGCGACCATTTGGTCGAAAGGCGAAACCAGTTTATTGCACTGTTACATCAGAACGAATTTTATTTTGCATAAATCCCGTGGCGAATATATTACATCGATTTGTAAATGGTCCAGCATGTAAGCGCGAAAGCTTTCAAGTTTTTTTTCCTTGTTTTTATTCATGTGTCAATCATCGTTCTTATAACGAATGTGTACGAAAGTAATGGAAAGTCACAATACAATATCAGGCTCAGTCAATGCACGAAGTCTCATGTTTTATGTTACATAAAATGTGATATTTTACATTGGGTAATGTTTTAATTTTTGACAAAGATTCTAAGAAATTGAAATGCTGCGACGTAATAAAACAATTACGTAACGATTTATTATTTATCACGGGAAAGGGATATTAAATGTCGCGACTGCAGCACTAGAAAATTATAGCCAAAGGCGGATATTTAAATAACATTGCACGACTTCGTCGGTATTACTTTCGCAAAGGGACGGTAGCACTGTATTTCTTCAGTGCCAGGCGTTGAAATGTGTGTTCTCCAAGAATGAAAGTTTTCCGCTTTGCCCAAGAACGCAAATAAAATGTTCCGCATACTCTTCGTTCGGGACGCAATGTTGCTCGTAAATCCTTCAAAAATTTAACGCGAGACACGGCCGTGGCCATTCCGCGTGCCGAGTGCCGCAGGTGCCGGCTCTCTTTCTGCGGGGCCGCAAGGTGGAAGGAACCGAAGGTAGACAGAGAGAAATGAGGCAGCTCGCCCGTAGTCACCTGGGCTTCTTATTTACATTAATTACACCTGGAAAAGTTTCTATCTCGGCCGAGAAAAGACAGGAGGAGGCGCGTAGCGCGGCTCGTTGCTTGTTTTGCAGCGGTGGCAATTATTTTCGCAGTCGGTAAATATGATTAATCGCGAGAGATTAAAGACGAAACAAGTCCCGACATCGACTGAAACAAATTGTGCTCGTTGAATTATCGATCGGCACGTGCTCACGTTTACATTGTTTATCTTCACAGAGCGTCCTCCGAGGAAGTGCATATAAAGAGAATTTAATTAAATTAATTGAAATTGCGTGAAACAGGATACACACACGTGAATTCCGTAGGTTTGAAATGGCGCACATTTGCGGGTCGCGTATAGATTGAATTACACAACATTAAATGCAATTCTATCAAAATTTAGGAGATATTTAGAGTACCCATTAAATTTCATCAAGGTTTAATTAAATTTAATTGCAGACATTTATTTATATATCCCGCGTTTCATGAAATCTCAAATATGAACCTAAAACGCGCGAATTAAAATTTAAAATAATAAACAACCTGTGGTAAATGATGTGAAAATTATAAAATACATTGCAGAAATAATTCGTTTGGATATTTTCGTACTTCATTTCGTAACTTTCGTTACAAAGTTGCATATGTATATATTTCCCTAACGTTTTTAAATAACTGAGATTCCTTGTTTCATTATTTAGAGAAATTATAATTTCTAAGTATCGCACCGTAAAACGATGTACAGTATAATATTATTTCAGATTGAAGTTGGATACCATCTTTAATAGCAGTCTATTCCGAACTGCTTTATGTGATGCATACGTTCAAAATATTACGTACAAAATTAAAATAATTAAATGCTAATAATGACCAGAAGAAAACGCCAAAGGTATTATTCTTATAGAAATATGGTATATGTATCTCTCTTATTATTATTTACAACAATATGTAATTAGTTTTAAGTATTATTTAGTATAGAAATGTTTTCTGTTACTGGTATTTAAATATATTATAAATACATTAATAAAATTTTTGTTTTCCAAGATTATTGCCACGTATTAATTTGCTTTTGTAATAGAAAAATCACTCTTCTAATTTATTCCTTGTTCCTTGTCATTCCCCAATGTTAAATACAATATACATACCATATACACGTTTCGTATTCCTTTTGTTATAACATTTCGTAATGTTCCAAAGTTGAATATACTAATTTATTTCGAATTTGCAAAGTTTAATTTTTCAGAGTTTATCACGATATTAAATAGGATAAATTGAATAGGAACAAATTAAGTTGTTTCATACATAAAACAAATATTTGACGCGGAAAAATTAGTTTTAACTTATCTCGTCACGTACATAGACGTAACGTTACCACTTGCTAACCTGTTTTCATACTAGCTTTCATTTTACTATTTATCTATTTATTTTCCTTTGATTCCTCTTTCTTTTGTTCATCACACAGCCAAGTACCTTGATGCTCACGCGGGTATAAACGGCCGAAACCCCTGGATACCTTTTATTTCTCAAACGTCCGTAAAAGTTGGCACCAAACGATTTCGCTGCAGATTGAATTTCGCTGGCGGCTGTGGCAGTTGGCCGCGACCATTGTCACTGCAGATTGCATTGAACCGAATCAATGTAGTCACACATATTGGTGGATTCGAGCTGCAATAGCTTGAAAAAAAAGTTGTCACATCTAGCGGCGGAAATTATCTGGCTGGAATAAAGAATTGACTTCCACGACAACACAAATAAAAAGCAAACCAGACGTATAACCAGCAACAAATTTCTGGCATTTGCAAATAATATACAGTATTCACAATAAATTAATATTTTAATCATTAACATACATGATTAATCCTGACGATTCGTGTTAATGTTTTAAATTTATTGCTGTGTAACTTGTCTTTTTATTTATATTCTTCCACAAAATGTCAGTTCTTTGTAAAACATTGTAAATTGTATTATTCTTTAACAAATGCATAGGTACTGTAATATACACTCCTACTTTCAAGTAAATAATTAAATATATAAATATCATATAAATATATATACAATTCATTATTTATCAAATCTTTAACAAACTGCAGAGCGTTTCGCTATGTAGCGAGATATCCCGCTGTCGCGTTGCATTTCGAGTTCATCTCCACTCGAGTTGTCAAGCAATTATGCAGGATAATTGTGTGCCCTGTGCGTATCGTCGTTGCTCTACGATTCGCGATTTAACCCGGTAAATTGCACATCCATCCGCCGCGTCTATTATTTTTTCTGCAATGAGCTGCCTGACTAGAAGTCAGTTGTAAGTTTCACACTTAATTATCCTTCGGCGAGAATAATACAGGTTTATCTCGTTTTCCATCCTAGAATTTCTCCGCGCCGCAGAGTGAATAATCTACCGTCAGCTTACGTTAGATTATTTCATTCGTGCATTTTATGGAGATAGCACGAGCGATTTAATTGCAAATTGGATCCGCTTGGGTTCTTTCGTTATTTTTCATTATTTCAACCGTAATTGAAACTGTTGCGATTACGAAGCCCTTTTATCACGAGCGTTTCCAAGTGCAGAAACGAGACTCATTTTAATACACGTGCCGTAACTCATTAACGATGTTATTTTACGCGATATTTATTAATAAGAGACACGCTGCAGAAACGAAACTTTACCGTATACGCACATTTACTTACTATTTTCAGCATTTACCCATCATTTATTGGTCATTTACATGTAAATTTAAATGTAAATCATTTTGATTACATTTACGTCGCTCTCCTTAGAATGTTGAATGGCGGAGAGGCGAAATGAGATGCGATCCGAAGGTAGAAATCACAAGGTCACACTTTTAATTTATGCTATAATTTATTACTTTTAACAAGTGTTCTGTTCTGTGTGTATATGTATGTTCATGTCGCGTGTGAACGTGTCTTTGCGTATCTTTCGCGCTCTCTTAAGTATGTATAGGTATTGCCTTCAGTATACATACAGCATTTTTTAATATTTTTTTTTTTACGTTCTTATCTTCTCGCAGTTTAAATCTCAGCAAATTAAAGGTTTTCTTTTCTTAAACCTATGCCCTGTATAGACCATTGGTGATAATAAATAAGAAATCCATAGGAAAACACAGCATCCGATCTCACGCATCGGCGTAACACGCGCGTACGTTACGTCGTATAATATACTATGTATAATATATATATATATATCTCTTTGTTTTCAACGTTATAGCATTCCAACACTTTCACCCTCGAAAAACAGCGTGCCGACGTGGTCGTTTCGCACGAACCAAAAGTTTCTGTAATTTACGCTCGATCATCAGAAACCCCCTTTGCACTTTCTCACGCACGCAAACGTGCACGCAACAGACGCAGGCATGCTTCCCCAATTAGACATATTTACACAGATATACAGTGCTATACGTTAACTTGCTCTCGCAAATGACGTCGCCTTCGCGCACGCATGTCGTATGTATATCGTTATGTGTGTATCGATACATATCATATATAATACATGTGTCGCGTATATGTACAGAGGGGATAGTATCAGGATAGAAAAATACAGCCATTTTAATCAGGATTATAAGAAACTTTCTAACATCTCTCGAAGTGTCACGCTATAACAGAAGACTAGGCTTACCTCCCCCCCCTCTCTCTCTCTCTCTCTCTCTCACACACACTTTTTCTCTCGCGCGAATATATTTTTGGCTACTCTTCTTTATATCTGAGACCGTTAAGAGTCTCAGGCTTATATTGTTCTTCTGAATCGTCGGATTGGGACTCGTATCTTTATCATGCATTTAGCACTGACATGAGTATAATCACTCGATGCGCGTTTTCGTTTTATTAATTGGCCTCTGAGGATGAGACTTCGGGATCAGACAGCCACTTAACGTAGTGACTAAATGCGACGCAAAACGGAGGTGAGAATGTGGGCTCTCGAGATCGGCTATGCGGGGATTTTGCGGGGACCACGCTGGAATATGCATCATACTTATCCTCTGCGCTTCGTTAACGATACGGGAAGCAAAGCGTGCGAACTTCGCTGATTAAGAAGCGATCGACTTCGTCCGGAAGTCTCTTTACCCTTTACAACGACGTTAAGTGGCACATGGCGCGATTTACGAAGATGAGACGAGGCGGCAGCCGCGGGGGATAAGTCGAGGGATGATCGGTCGACAAGCGAGAGAGAGAAAGTCGACAAACTCCCCGGCGGAGTTATGAAGAGGACTTAAAACTTCACAGCCGACTCGCGCGGATTCATTGTGGCCGAAACGACTTAAGCAGGTTTTATACCTTTCGGAGGTTTACATAAATTAAAAGATTTATTCCCGAATTGAAAGCCGCGGCTCTAAGTTCGGGTGTCCCCCTGTCCGTTTCCGGCGTCGAGCCGCGTTTCATTCCACGACGGAGTCGCGTATTTCTCCCCGAGAAACTTTAAACGTTATCGTAATGTGGATATTGTCTTGCGCATTGCCAAAGTGTTACCTCGTCTCGCGGAGAAAGAAGTTAAAAGTAGCCGACGAACAGTGGGGGTCTAAGAAGCGGAATTCGCAAGGGGTTGCAAGGGGTTCCACTCGCTGCAGTTCTCGTAACGTTATTTCGCGGGAAGACTTTGCAAACTTACCATTAATCTCCATTAGTCTGCGTCTACCATTAGTTTGCATATTACTCTAAATAGGGCAAATACACGCAACCGATTATACAAAATAGCGGCGCGGAGAACGTTATTAGCGTTATTAAAAGGGAAACCGTGTCGCGCGATTATTCCCCGAGTCGCGAAACTCATTTGACACAATGACGCGTAGAATTAAAACTAACGAAGCAATTTCCCGTTTTGCGAAAAGCATCGTGCGAAGAGCCCGCCGATCACGACGAATGTCGTTCGACTCCGCGGCCGGACGTTTGTCAAGCTCGAGCGCACGTGTCATTTATCGCAAGTGACCGCACACTCGTCCGAGTTTCACGCGGCATGAAACGTACGCGAACTGCGTTTTACCTAAAACAACTCGATCGGATCGACGTCGTAAACCGCGCCACATGTAACGCGAGGCTGCACGTAACGATAGGATTGACGGTACCATTCGTGTAGAATATTTACAAATATACATCGGAGGCTTAAAGCTACCTCGTACAGCATTCAAAAAAGCCAGTAAAAAGCTTTGATTGTAAACGTTATTGCATCAACGCGGACGCGCGAGACGTATATCGAAACGAACGATATCGCCATTTGCTCGCTACGCTCCGGACCGTGCAAGAACTTACATCCGGACTGATTTAAATGCGCTACTGTACATACCTAAACTACCTAGTGTTTAAAAAATATCTTAAGCTAGGAGGAATGCTCCGAGTAAAAAATTTGCACGTTCTTGCAAATTTACAAAGAGCGGAAGAAGATTTGGGCAAAATCAACCAACTAGTCCATCATTCAAAAAGTAAAATTTGTCTACGGAGTCGCTTCTAGTTCAATTTTCAACACGCCGAATTTTTTTCCAGATTTGAACACATTCAAACGTGAGCTTGCAAATGCTGGCCGGAGGGATAAAAATTGCTTACCGTGCGCGCGAAACTGGAGCGAAATTATCACGTTTAAGCATAGATCTCGAGATTCCCGGATTGACAGCGCTAATTTTGTTCGGCGCGGTTACTTAGACGTAGTTTAGATTATATTTTATCAAGAAACTTGTTTCCGAAGAAACATAATCGAAAGCACGCGTGACGAAAAATTTCCGCTCTCTGAAAGTCAATCAGCGAATCATCACCGAACGTAGTGAACAGTCACTGATTTGCAGTTATAAGTATACTACTGAAAATTGCAGTGGTATACTTGCAACTGTAAATCAGCGACTATTCACTGTTTTCTGTGATAATCCGCTGATTGATTTTTAGAGAGCGAGAAATGGTAGCGCTCGATATTCACGCAATGAACACAGTCGCATTCGGTTGATTGAGATTTTATGCACTTGGCATCAAGACGCTACCGCGTCTCTCGACAATCTAATATTGTTATTTTTAACAATTCAATATTAACGGATTGTAAAATACTGCCATCAGATTACTCTCTCTCTCTCTCTCTCTCTCTCTCTCTCTCTCTCGCTCTCTCTCTCCCCCTTTCTCTCCTCCTTTCGGTATACGCAAGTTTATAATTGTTATCATAAGCTTACAATTGTATATTATTTAATGTTATTGTTCGCTTTATAAACCAAGTATTTTTAAACGTCATCCAAATAATCAACTAGATTATACATGCTCTCTCAGACCCGCGCTAATCACTTCGCTCATATTTGAAATCCGATGAAACCGGCGCATTTTCGACGTAAACGTGATTTGAGATGCTCACGTTACGTCGATCAAATAGTGATATTAGCTGAAATATGAACTTCGATTGCGAGGAAAGTCATGAAACTCTGCACGGGTTAATCAAACACAGGACATAGATCGTCCTCTACATTTCTGCGCGTCTCCCTCGCGCCGTAAAGGCCCGACCGTGCGGATATGTTTGTCTTTTTCTTCGAAATGAAACCGACGAGTTTAATTTCAGACGCAGTGGATATGGAGAAAGATATTTTATACTAGATCCGTCGACAATTTCTATTTTGTTACGCATAAATATACGTAAATGCGGTGTCTCGGGAGATTATACTGGTTTTAATTCCTGTCGTTCTATGATAGATTCCCGTAGATATCGAAGACAAATCAAACATGAAAGTACTCACCGGTGTAACTCTTTTGCATCAAGATGCTGTAATACGTGTTGTATCATACCCCTTAAAATTCAAAGCTGCCACTAAATATTATTAAGATTTAAGTATTAATACGTATCCATAAATCACGACAATATTGAATGTATCTGGAATATAAAACGTTTACATATTATTATCAAGAAATCACGTAGTGAAATCGTTAACGGATACTAGATTGTTGAACGGTACCGAGCGACAAAAGTAAATTAAGTACTTCGGAGAAACTTTCACGCTCTTTCTTCCAAGCAGTCGCAGTCCCGTCATAAACGATGCCCCACGGTAGGTTTTAATGGAAGCACAGCGCGATCGTTGATCTGCACCGTCTGGGAGCTCGATGGAAAAGTCTTGAGGAGTATACACAACCGTACTGATCATTTCAAGAATAAAAATAATAATAATAATGCAGTGTGAGCTAATTCGCTCGATTGGTTGATTCGTAGGCGGCCATTGCGCCGCGCACTCGTACTTGATATGTTTGAAAATTCGGTCACGGTGAATTTCACGCTTGACCACGAAACAGAGGACGTGAGAGACTTCGTCGAAACTTAGGACACGTATACGTACACAGCATCGCGAGAAGCTCGGCACAACTTCCGCCTCAACAGAAATCTTCTGAACGCAACACGAAACTCGACAACGAACTTCTCACCAAGCACTACTCTTTCATTTCATACATTTTCCATTTGCTACATTTAATGTTTCTTTTCCTAATCTTTATTTTCTTACTCCTTCGTAAGGTATATTTTAATTTCACCCGTATTGTATCTTTACGCTTTAAGAGGAATCGATACCCCGCGATAGTTTGCATTTATACATCACGAGCCCGTAAATCCCAACGTTGCGCTTTCGCGCTCGATCGAGCCGCGAAACCGAGAATTGTGTTTCCGCGATCTTCGTGTACGCCGTCGTCATTGTTCCAAGTCCACCTGATTATTCATACGATTCGTAACTGGTGGCATTGGTATCGGAATATCGCGACAAATCCTACATATCAAAGCGCGCTGGAGCGGTTGGAACAAGTTCCGGAATTTCGCCGTTCGATTGAACCCGTACGATGCTCGCAAGTTAAACCTGCTTGTGTGTGTGTGTGTATGCATGCGTGTGTGTGCATCACGGTAAAATCGTAAAATAATATATATCAGGAGTTCTCAATCCCTGCACGTTCACGCTCCATTTATTATTTATCTAACCGTTGCTTACTACACATAAATGTTTTACAGATGAGTGACATAACGTAACACGGAATTCTCCTTACAATTTGGAAGAGTCTAACACTCGTAGTAAGATATTCGAAGCATATAAGCTTCATTAGATAATTGAAATGAATCAATTTAAACAAAATTAGACGTGGCGTTGGTCAAAAAGTACTTCATATATGTGTTAACTTGCCTGTATCTTATTAGTATTCACAAACCCTGCATATATCTTGTAAAATATACGGTTGATTATGCGATTTGATTTTAAGAAATTTGTGCTGTCATAGTTTGATTGTGATTCAACCGCTACCCATCTTCACACGAAGCGTTTAATTATTACTCCGTTAAAAAGAACACAAGTTAATGATCGTTCGGTGACTTCAAAAAGGTAATAGTATGTAAACTGAACAGATTGTTGTTAAAATAAATGCTAGATGACGGGAGCGCTAAATTGAGAAACCCTGAGAAACTCGTACCAAATATCGAGAGACTAAGCGTTTAAATTTTTCAAAATATCCAAAACTCTTCCTCTCTCGAAAGGCGATTTAATAGCGAATTCATTCCCGCGGGAAAAGCGTGCGTTTTCCCAAAAGTAAAACTTACAATCCCGGAAGCCTCAATCACAATGTATCACTTTCCTAAATATTCTCGCGTTCAGAAAAATATCTTCTTCTCGATGCACGGGCTTTAATAAATGTCTTGCTAACCGAAAAATAATTATATTCACTGACATTCGGTAACATGCGTAACTCATTAAAGAGCGTTCAAGCTAGCGTTTCCAAGATACACTGTTCCCAAAAGTTAATCTTCTTCCTTGTTGTCCTAAAGCTTCTGCCCCGTACTCGGTGTCACCCTGTATATCGTGAAAGGACGTAAATTTATTTATGTATAATGTATATTATATATATATGTAATATATATCTTTTTTCTCTCGCATGTTCTCGTCTATTTCTTTCACTCTCTTTCTCTCTCTAGTTCTCTATGTGTACCGAAGTATAAATACAATTACACCGCGACACGCGAGTGTGTATAGCATGTCTATATCGTCGTACAAACGGCGGTCTCGGTTGCTTTTGCTTGAGCGAAAAAATATTGCTATAACTTATATCCTACGTTAATACTGTCACGGCGTACTTGATCATCCAGATAGAGGTGTATAGTAATATATGCTCGCATAATAAATACACCTCTAACAACTTTAACCCTCCGCGTGCTCCCTCCCCCCCCCTCTCTCTCTCTTCCTCTCTCCCTCTCGGATCTCATTATTACCTGCTTTCGCGAAAACTTAAATTATCTTTCGGGAGTGCAACCGCCCTTACGAACACGCGATTATTACACAGAGCTAGCCTGTCTCTAACAAGTCCTTCGGGCCCCGTAAACGCTTGCCGCATGTGATTTGTACAGATTACCTAAATTTTCTGCTAATTTGCGCGATACCGCGCTGTTGATCGACGCGGAGTATTTGCTTTTGCTTCGCAAAGCCTTACTTAGCAATTACTTGAGCTACCCGTGCGAGAATTCGGCTCCAACGTTCGTGCACGCGTATTCTAGCGCACGTGTATGTAATGTGTCCTCCATAGCGCGTCATGCCACGATAGTTCGATATCACAGTGCACGCATTTTCACGCACATGGACGCGATGAATCGTTGCTGCATTCGATAACAACGAATTTATACCAGCGGACAATTTTCGCTGATCGCGTGTCAACTTTATCCAAGCGAAGAAATATCTGCTTTACTTTCCACCATAAAGATAGAACGTCATAAAGATTTAAGAAAAAAAAAAACTTAAATATTTTGCATGCAAAAATTTTTGTTAAATAGAGAAACATTTTTATGTAATTTAGTTAAAAGCGACTTCCATAAATTTCATTATTCTTTCGACCTCACAAGTTATATTCATCGAATGCTCGCATATGGTGTTGATCGGAAATAATGTCATCTTTTTTTTTCCGTGTCGCAGACCGTATTTCCTAAGTGTCAGAAAATGGAAAATGTTTTGTAAGACTTGGCTTTTCTTATTCGCTTGGAAAACGATTGACACGCAACGGAACGCGAAAACCGATAGGCAAACGCAGCTGCTGAGGTTCCAAATACAAGAACAACAGTACCTGTTGCCGAGCTTGCCGAGAGAGCCTACTGTCTCGTTGTTACATCACAAATACGACGATTCACACCGAGTTACGTTTGCTGTCCTGTATATCTTCTTCAGCGATGGAAGCAGGTAAATCGCTCGCTTATACGCTGATCAGCTTGCGGAAGGCCTTACGGAATTCGGGGTTGAACACAGTGTATATTACGGGATTCACGAAGCTATTCATGTAGCCCAGCCAGGAAGTGACGATGAAGGCTGTAACACCTGGCTGACATGCCTTTGTCAGCTTCGTGCAGATCGCGTCCATGATGTTGCAAGTGAAGAAGGGCACCCAGCATATTAGAAAGACACCTGTGACATTTATTATGTTAATCAAAGTGATTGCGTCAGCGCGATAAACGTATGATAGGCATGTGTATAATGATTTCTTCTCTTTGAAATATACAATAATACTTAAAAATTTTAATTCTTGGCACTTCGATGCAATTTTAATTATAACTACCATATCTCAATAAATGCTTTATACATTTCACGTTATCGCTTCATTAATATTTTAAGTCTTGTCCAAACTGTATATCTAAATAAGTATTAAATGAAAAAGATGTTACTCTATAGAAACTATTTTAACTATTCATTTATATAGTGGAGGGATTTTAGCACAACGACTACTGCGTTAATGCAATGTTGCAAATGCAAATTGATTCGTTTTCCCTAGTCCTTATTTCTAATTGATATTGCTATATTTATTGAAGGAATTATGAAGTACACGCGTTTTAAATTACCCATTATTATTTTCTATAAAGCGGATGCTTCGAGCTTTAGCATTTTGTTTGCAAAATACGTTCTGTTAACGACTTTAACACGCCAAGGGCTACAGAAACTCTCACAATCAGTCTGAGTCTGTTATTAACTTATGCTTTGATGTTTTATATATCAGAAATATATTTATTACAAAGTACAAGCTATCCATGTAATAATCCTCTCCGCCCTTTCATTTATCCTTTATTTGAAATAAGTTTGATAAACTTCGAGAGCTTCTTAATACTGAGATTGGTGACGGGAATTCCAAGTCTTTTTCTCTATAATAATACGCGGTATCCCTCACGGTATTTCTTCGAATTGATTTCAATATTTCAGTATTCAAGTAAATCCACATTTTAAGTAGTAAAAGTAGCAATTTTGTGTATCGACATTTACTGCCGCTTGTTTATTACTCGCAGGAAATAGTTACAAGGATAAATTGCTCGATCCAATCGAATCGTCGGACATGTAACTAATCTCCCGATCTCTCGATGTTTTTCTTAAACCACTCGCCTATCCGCCCAGCTATGTTCGGACTTTCACGTACACACATATATATACTGGAGATGGAGATCTATTTCCAGTATCGCCGCTCTCGCTTCTAACTCGCGAGTCTGCGAGCTCATCAATAATAGATGTTAGCCGAGCTACTTATCAATGCAACTCGGCACGCGAGCAACCTACCTAACACGATCGCAAGAGTCTTCGTAGCCTTGCGCTCCTTCTTGGCCGAGCTCTTTTCTCTCTTCTTTTTACTAGCCTTGTTAGCTTTGTATATTGTGAACCTTGATCCGGCCGACGCGTTCTTCCGGTCCTTCTTGCCGGAGGACGACAGCACGCTGGGTGTCCTCGCGAGCTGCAGCGGCAGGAGCGAGCCGGCGCTCTTCAGTCGCTTCAGCTCCTGCTTGTTCGCCCCGCCGTTGTTACCGTTCCTCTTCGTCTGCGTAGATGAGGACACGCTGGTTGCGCCTCGCGTTGGCGGAGGCGACGACGAGGTCGACGAGGACGGCGGGCCCGACGTGATCCGCGGATTCGGACTCGGACTCGAGTTCGTCTCGAGTGTCTCGTGGATCATCGTGCTGCTCGCCGCACCGTCGAACCCGCTGGAGTCCTTGCGCTGCGGTGCTGCGGTCAGTTGGGCCTGCGCCACCGCGCTGAAACGACAACTACCATTCGAGTGTCAGAAAGACCCGGCACTCACTCGCTTCACGTTCGAGTTTAAAATCCGCGCTGTTAGTCGCGATAAAAACGCAAAAGTTGTACAATAGAAATAAAGATGGCTCTCAAAAGTCTCATTTGATATCGTATCAATTATTGCTTTCTTATTATTGTTACCGAAACGCACGATTACGTATGTACACTCGAGATCATGGACAAAATCTTCAAAGATATATCATTCTTACTCAATGCGATACTTTTGTGTATATTCGTATCACGATCTCAGACTCTTACATTGAAATGTGGATAGGAAATTTTCACGTGTTCTAAACTTTAAAGGATAATTTTGCTATCGTTATTTATTATGTATTAACAATTGTGTACCAATCGTAAGTTATTTAAGATCTTTTGCGTTCCTATACAGTTCTAAGACATTATCACGTTGATCGACGTTATATGGTAAAATGGTAACGTAATAAAATATTTCAAAAAAAAATAACGGGACATCGGATTATGTAACAGATTAATATTTGAATTAGGAGAGAGTACTTATTACAAAAAATATATATATATACATGCAAATGACAACAGGTAACATCCTTCAGAGGCAAGGACACAGAAAGAAATGTCCTAAACAAATGTACAGCGAGATCCAATTTACTATATTATATATAAAAAAATATTTTTAATATCTTTTCACGTACTATACTGTTTTTCAATATAAATCATCGTTTAATACGTCAAAATAATCTTATAATTATTTAAATAATACTTAAATATATTATATAATTATTGTGATATAGTATTAGGATATTAGAATAGTGATGTAATATTATAATAAACCACGTACAACTTATTTTCCACCAAAGGTTACATTGCACTTCTTCTTTTTCTCTTTCGTATAACTCTTTAGAAACATAACTAGAAATAGGAATGCGTCAAAGTTGTCGTTAGTTAATAAATCATGTCCCGTGCAAAAGTCCCCCGTAACGATTCAACACGAAGTTTCTCACGGCGAAATATGTGGTAGTATCACTCGAGCGCTGAAAATACATGCTAATTAATAACCGTGAAATGTCCATGCACGGAGTTGATTGGTCCATTTTCAAAGGTAACGCGAGCGGTTAGATGCAAATTGTTCGCGGACGCCGGTACAAAGAGGCGACCCCATCGCGATTAGCTCGCGAACTTCCGGATTACTATCGGAGCGACGAGTTTCCGTTAAACGAGTACTGTGCGCGCGGGCTTTGAATAGAGTTTTGGAAATAGATAGGCAGAA